GGGATGGGTGGAGGTGGTGGTGGTGCCGGGATGGATGGAGGTGGTGGTGGTGCCGGGATGGGTGGAGGTGGTGCTGGCATGCAGGGATGGATGGAGACAGCACTGGGGTGGATGCAGGTGGTTGTGGCCTTGGGGTGGATGGGTGGAGATTGTGGCGCTGGGATGGATGGATGGGTGGATGGAGACGGTGCTGGGGTGGATGGAGGAGTAAAGAAGGTGGTAGTGTTGGGATAGAGAGCTGGATGGGTGGACAAATGGAGATGGTGGTGCTGGAATGGATGGAAGGATGGATGCAGATGGTACTGGGATGCATGGACAGATGGATGGAGATGGTGCTAGGATGGATGGACAGAGATGGTGCTGGCATGGATGAAAGGACGGATGGATGGCGATGGTGGTGGGATGGATGGACAGAGAAAGGGACATGGTGCTGGCATGGATGGATGGAGATGTTGGCGCTGGGATGGACGGATGGAAGGATGCAGATGGTGCTGGGATGGATCAATGGACAGATGGACAGAGATGATGCTGGGATGGATAAATGGATATGATACTGGGATGGATGGATGGCGCTGGGGTGGATGAATGGGTGGATGGATGGCACTGGGATGGATGGATGGGTGGATGGATGGTGCTGGGGTGGGTGGATGGGTGAATGGATGGACGGATGGTGCTGGGGTGGATGGATGGGTGGAGATGGCGCTGGGATGGATGGATGGAGATGGCGCTGGGATGGATGGATGGACGGATGGCGCTGGGATGGATGGATGGATGGAGATGGCGCTGGGATGGATGGGTGGGTGAATGGATGGAGATGGCGCTGGGATGGATGGGTGGGTGAATGGATGGACAGATGGCGCTGGGATGGATGGATGGATGGAGATGGCGCTGGGATGGATGGGCGGGGGAATGGATGGACGGGTGGCGCGGAGTGGGTGAATGGATGGACGGATGGCGCTGGGATGGATGGAGATGGCGCTGGGATGGATGGGCGGACGGATGGCGCTGGGATGGATGGACGGCACTGGGATGGATGGGTGGGTGAATGGATGGATGGATGGCTCTGGGATGGATGGGTGGATGGACAGATGGCGCTGGGATGGATGGACAGATTGTGCTGGGATGAATGGATGGATGGAGATGGTGCTGGGATGGCCGCGTGGCTGGAGTGGCCGTGCCCAGCGCCGTTGCCTTCCCTCCCGGCAGAGCCCCAGTACTTCCGCTTCGAGGGCGTGTGGCTGACGGAG